GACTCTGAAAGTCTCCAGGCAAACTGCTAACATTCAGCTTGAAACCACCCATCTGCTGGCAGCAACAGGGACCTCCCAGGGCGTGAGGGAGGCGGGGGAGCCCAGGACACCTGCCGACTCCCGCACACACGTGCAGCGCCCCCTGGACAGCCCACCTCCTCCCAGTGATCCTCGTGGAAGCCGCCGCGGTAAGGCTGGCTCCGGAACTTGTCCAGGAACACGTCCATGTCATTGTCGTCCGCAGCGTCAGGCTGAGAGCCCTCCATGGCCGCTCGCGGATGGCTCGCTGCAGTCCTGGGGCCGAGAAGCCGCGCGCCGCCTTGTGGCGGCGCGGTGCGCTCCCCTCAGTCCTCCGGGCCGTGCCAGACCGTGCGGCTTGGGTTCCGCAGCCCTAGGAGAAGAGGCGCCTGCCCCTCCCTGGCCTCTGCCCAGTCCCGCCTTCTGCCCCAAGTTGTTGGGGTTCAGGGTAGTGGATGAGCCTAGGCACTGCAGAGCCGCCGCGATCGCTGCCGGTGCGTGCACTCCTCCATTAGTCAGTTGGCACTATTTACGGAGCGGAGCGCCTTCTGCTTCGCACCTGCGCTGGGCGCAGGCGTGGAGTGGCCATGAGCTTGGGCAGAGAGCCAGAGTAGCAGGAACAGGGGAAGGGCCAGAGGTGATGATGTGGCAGGGACAAAGGACTGACTGTGAGGACTCGGCTTTTCCTCTCGGTCGGGTGGAACCCTGTGGAGAGGTGTTCTGGGGGCTTTGTTTGTTGCTGTAGCAGGGATTGAGCCCAGGGCCTTCCCACTGAACTACATCCCCAGCCCTTTTTATTTTTAAATTTGAGGCAGGATCTCACTGAGTCACTCAATTTCCCGGGTTGGGTTCAAACCGGTGATTGTCCTGTCACCGCCTCCCAGGATGACAGGTGTGTGCCACCACACCGGCTTGTGGAGAGTTTTGAGGGACTTGTCTGTTTCTGAGTTTAACCCCAGCCTCACCCCCACAGCAGAGGGAGCAGGGTCTGCAGTCCAGGTGAGGCAGGCCTGCTTGACTTTCTGCAGCCACCCGGTCATCCCGCAGATGGCCACAGAGCCCTGTGCAGGCGCCATAGCTTTGGGGCGCTCCTAGAGAAGCAGACAGCAGTCGGGTCTACACAAGTCTGCACAGTGGAGACGGGGAAGGGTGGGGTCCAGGAGGCTTCCCACTGACAGAGACGCAGATGAGAAAGGGCTCTGCACTCAAGAGGGAAGCTGGGCATTAGGTGGCAGAAGCTGGTGTACAGAGAGGCCTGAAAGTGTATGACAGCCTGGCTGGCTGGGCACCACGTGACCTAAGCAGTGAGGCCAGCAAGGTGGATGGGGCTAGAGGGCCTGGCTGCCCTCTTGGTCTTTGTCCTGCAGAGAACAGTGAACCCCTGGAAAGACCTGGAGAGAGGGAGGATCCTGAGCCATTTTGTTCGGGGAGGCCTGGGCTGCCAAGTGAAGGACAAGAAGCCAAGGGTGAGGAGACTGAGGCCAACGGTGGCACTGGCGGGCTTGGTCATCACTGGTTCGGGATAAAGAAGAGAGCAAGGCTGAGGAGATGAGGGTGAGCCTTCTGGGGCCAGGACCCTCTCTCCCTTCTAACTGCACATCCAGGAGAACATGCGGTCCAAGTGCCCCTTCCCTCCGACCTCGTGTACACTTCCTCCTCCACCCCTGCTCCCAACCCTGGTTCCCCTTATTCTCCTCTTCATCATCTGTTCCCTTCTTGAGCGCAGAGCCTATAAAGTGTTTTTGCTTCTGTTTTACTGTTTTCAAGTGCCTGAGACTGGGAAATTTACAAGGAAAGGGGTTTATTTTGGCTCATGGTTCTGGAGGCTGCCAAGTCCCAGGAGCACGGCACTGGCATCTTCTCAGCTTTTGGAGTAGGCCTTTGTGGCAGAAAGCAAAAGAGCAAGAAGGCACACGTGCAGGAGAGGCCCCAGCATGAGCAGCAGTGTGGCCTCACTGTGTAACAACCCACTCACCCAGGCCCAAACACCACCCTCCAGGCCCCACCTCCCAGCTCTGCTGCGATGAGAACAAAACTACAGTGTGAGATGGATAGTGACAAACCATATTCAACCATAGCAGCTTCCAATGTTTTGTTTTGTTTTGTTTTGTTTCTTTTCTTTTCTTTTTCCAATGTTTAATTTGATTCCCATAGGAACCCTGTGAGGTAAGAACCCATTTTACAGATACCAGAAGGGAAAGCTGAGAGAGAGGAAATGACCTGCCCCGTGCTCTTCAACCTTCCAACTCAAGGCTACTTATGGACCTTGGCCAGGGCCTGACTGAACCAGCCTCTGCTCCGAGGTCACTGGCCCTGGCAAGTGAATGCACCAGTGTCTCTGGATAGAAACAAGGCATGAGA